TTTGATGTGGCAAGGTAAGCTACAAGGTATTGTAGCTTACCATTGGAGATGCTCTAAGTCATTTTACTTTTTTCATTTTCGGTGGAAGATAATGAAATAAAATCTAAATTAAATGTTGGAAGTATTTGAAGTTCATCATTCTTGGTTTAAATTCCCTCCTCTTTCAAGCTTTTACATTAATAGTACTCCGATCCATTCACTCATTCATCTTCACCTAAACATTTCATTTGGTTGACGATGAATCTTTGTCACAAATTGTGGTGCGAAATATATAATAGGTGAGAGTTGGATGCAAATTGCCGAATGACCGATTATGGCAAAGGAGTTTGTAATTTAACTTTTCATATCTAAAGTGTATCAGAACTTAATAGTTAGAATTATTGACGTTTTAAGTTTGCAAATGCTATAATGGTAAATATAAAATATCGAAAATGAAGATTTGAAGAGAATTATTACTTCGGTTGCCTTTTATTTTATATAAGAGCTTATAGCAATTGTACTTTTTATAATGTAATCACTCTATTAGTATTGAGCTCTCTTAAATGAATGACAATATAACTAACTATTAATATGTATTTTCCTCTCTTAAGCTGATCTAATTATCATTAAATGAACAAGTATTGTAAACTACGAATCATTTTACTAATTTCATTTCTAAATTGTTAATGGTTTCCCGTTGATGTTAATCATTTTTGCTAGTGATCCCTTTATTTAAAGATTTTACATTTTTTTTATTACCCGATTAAAGTTTTCACATTAAGTACTCCTTTCATTCATTCTTCTTCAACTTAACAACCTTCTACATCTTACCATATCAAATTGCCAACTGACTTTTATATTACTAGATTCATTTTGCATTTTGTCAAACTATTTGTTAGTTGTTGCAAGTATACTATCCATTTTAGACTTACTTTAAACTGCATGTGCTTGGAATTGAAGATGATAAACTTGTCATTATTCAATCATTGAAATAAATGATCTTGCATAACCCTAGAAATATTAAATTTATAGTAGAATAAAATTTAAACATCAGATTCATCAACGCCGCAATAAATTTATTTCTACTATAATCTGATCTTATTGTATAATTGAAATGTGATCGTATTTAAAAGCTACTCCTTTATTTGATTATAAGTAACATGTGGCAACAATTAATCAATTATTGGACTTTTTCATATTCATTGCATGTTGTCAACAACAATTTCTCGTTAACTGATGCAATATATATTATAGAAAATATTGAACACAATTAACCGAATAGTAAAAAAAAAAAAATGTTCGTCACTTTTCCATGCTAACCCTAATAACACTTGGTATTTGAGAATCAATCACACATTAGATGAAAAAGAATTTGTTATGAAAAGCTCAAATAAATTGAAGGTGTAGCTATATAAGTATTGCCTTGATAACCTTTGTACTATCTGTGAAAGCTAATTATAATTTAGCTGGTTGTGATTTGACTATAACATACGTTACTGAGCTATCTTAAAGTAAATAATGATATGGCATGTTGTTTATATGAATAGTTGATTGAAGGCCAGATCTAAGATATAGGTTATCATTACAAAATCTACCAGAATTATTAGTTGAAGTCAATAATTAAGATGGATTTTTAAGGTTATTTGTCTTTCTAGCTATTTCTTGATTCCTTACAGTAAATGAATTCCAATCTCGGCATTTGCACTATTAAACACCTCTATTTAAGATTTTGTTTCCATGATAAATTTATAAGGGTTTATTCTAGTGTATGGCTTTCATAAACTATTTATTGTAATCTTTTTTCTATTTAAATCTAATCTAAATTGTTGGTTCCTTCAAAATAAGTTTATACAATACGTACCGGACACTATATTTCACTTCATAAAAATCCTCCTAAACAAGTAAATTCTAATATAACAAACTTATTTGATGGTTCTTTATGCATCTCATTTGATGTTTGCTTGGTGCATTTATTTTTAGAGCTGCCAATTCGAATAAATGGGTCGGGTTTGGGTCGGGTTAGTGTGGGTTAGGTCAACTTGGGTTGGGTCAATATGGGTTAATGTCGTAGCCTATGCGGGTTGGATTAGGGTCATGTCGGGTCATCATCTTATCGGGTTTGGGTTGGGTTTAGGTCGGGTCAATAATAGGTCGGGTTACATTCGGGTCGGGTCAATAATAAGTCGGGTTTAAGTCGGGTTAAAGCAAGTTAAGGTCATTCTCGGGTTCGAGTCGGGTTCGGTTCAAGTCAATAATTTGTTGGTTATAATCAGGTAGGGTCATTCTCGGGTTCAAGTCGGGTTTGGTTCAGGTCAATAATTCGTGGGTTATAATCAGGTTGGTCATTTTCAAGTCGGGTCATTCTTGGTTTGAGTCGAGTTTGGTTCAAGTCAATAATTTGCGGGTTATAATCAAGTCGGGTCAATAATTTGGGATGATGCTTCTTTCTTTTGCTAGACCGACTTGGTCTCTCTGCATCCAAGACAAAATACTTTGATCAATATTAACATAGAGTAGTTTTAACCTTACGAAGTTTCGACTTTACGAGCAGCTTAGAATATATTTAGCATATATTCTCTAATTATTGTATATATCTTTTTTTAGCTAGTGAATATCTACAATAATAAAGATATATACAATAATTAGAGAATATATACTAGATATATTCGAAAAATTAGAAATGAGCAAATAGTTATAATTAGTCTATGTAAGGAATCGTATGTATTGAACTATTGAATGGAATTTATCATAGTAACTCGCTTGCCCAAGCACACAACTACACAAATGACTACGTAACTATATAACTGTATATTAATAAGGGGGTCTAAATTGAATTAAGGTGATTTGAAATCGGGTCAGGTCAATAACAGGTTAGGTTGAGTTCGAAATGGGTCAGCAACAATTCGGGTTGAATTTGGGTAGGGTCAATAACAAGTCGTGCTGATTTCGGGTCAGGTTATTAACAGATCGGGTTGAATTACGAGTCGGGTTAAATTTGGGTCGGGTTAGTAATAGGTCGGGTTAAATTCGGATCGGGTTAGTAATAGGTTAGGTTAAATTCGGGTCGAGTTAGTAACGGGTCCGATTAAATTCGGGTTTTGACGGGTTAAAACGGGTTTGGGTCAACATCTGAGTTCGGTTCAGGTCAATAATTTACGGGTTATATTCGGGTCGGGTCATGTCCAGGACGGTTCATGTTCGGGTTTAGGTCTCAAATACTCGGGTTAACTCGGGTCTCGGGTCTAGAGTTGGTTTCAGGTCGGATCATATCGGGTTTAGGTCACCATTTTTTCGGGTTCAAACAAATCGGTTAATTATCGGATTCGGGTAAATTTTTCAAATCAGGTCAATTTTTAACAACTTTAATTATTTGCATGGTGGTCATAATTAATAATCTCATTATCAATTGTTCTAATATTTTAAACATATAAACTTTATATTTTGCCTAGAACTGAAAAATAATGACAATAATATCATTATTCAAACATTAAAAGAAATAAATATATCCTTCGCCTTAATTGGAACACCCAAGCATTAATAAAAAAAAGTAAACAACTGTTATCCATTATCATTTAATTGTACATCAAAATTATCCAAAGCTGATCCAGTAACTCATGCAGATCATTTAAGAAATGATAGTACATCATTATAACTTACTCCCTCCATCCCATAATATATGAGATGTTTTTTTTTCTTTTTTTCTTCACTATTCATATGTTAGGTTTGACCATAATTTTTTATTAACATAATAAAAATATATTTTATCATAAAATATATTGTTAGATAGGTTTTAATATAAAGTTTCATAATTTAATTTTTGAAATAATTTTTATTAATATTTAATCATATATATAAAATAAAGTCAAACTGTGCATTGACATGCGTGTAATGTTTGACTGTGTCATGTATTATGAGACAGAGAGAGTACTATTTACTACATCATGGCTGTTTTTTTTTTTTTTTCATGATAAAATTTAGACGGGATTAGCCTACTGTGAAAGCTATCTATAAGTAAAAGCGCTTTGGTTGAGAATATAGATTATAGTCATTAATTTCGCACAATCAATATAAAATCAAGTAGAATCAACATGAAAGTAATCCTTGTCCGTCCTTTTTTCTATCAAGCTAGCATCTAATCCTCAACATTAACATCTACCACCATCAATTAATTCTTTCATATAGTATCGCTATTTATTATACAGTACTTCGAAAGTATCATTTGAAGTGCACTAGTTAGTTTAACATTTCTTTTTAGTGATTCATCTTCATTTCTTTTGAAGTTTAATAAAAAATAAATTGAACACGCATGCAAATTAAAGTTGTAGTTATTCCTTTTCTTTGATCCTCATGAAGCTAAGGGAAGAAGATCAAAATTTTTGTTTTCAATTTCTCATCTTAGTTTCTATATATGAAAAAGTTTCCATAGTTTTCAACGCATTTTATGTCATGCTTGAAACTGAAAATGAACGTTGTCGTTATTCTAACATTAAAAGACCCTCTGCATTGGGAGACTCAAGTATTAATATCAACAACCGTTATTCATTACTTCATATCTTTTACGTGTATTTCAAAATTATTCTACACTACAAAAGTAATTCAATAACTCAGGAGACAGATTATTAAATTAATATATTCCCTCATATATCCTTTGTATATCCATCTAGCTTTCTCCTACAATTCGTTGTCATGTTTTATCTCCAAAATATTAGAATTACTCCGCATTATTTTCACATTAAACTTTTTCTTATGAATTTTTTTTCTAGATGATCAATTTTTTTTTTTCTTTTTTGGCGTACAACTGCACAGAATTACTTAAAAATCAAAATTATCCCGCTAATACCCTGACAAATTCCCACGTCAGATATCCAAAACAAGAATCTGCCACTTCACACCTCCAAAATCAACAGCCACCGTAGATCTCCCCTTCAATCCAACGGTTCACCTCACCAATCCGTGCCATTCAATTTGATTGGCTAAAAATCATTCCCACACCCTTTAAATACTCCTCTCCACACCGACTTTCTCTCTCATCATCTCCTCTCCCCCTCTATCCACAACTGCCGTGCCCAAACTTCTCCAATCACACTACTCGCCAACAACCGCCGCCTCATTCTCTCTCTCATCGCCGTCAATGGCTGGAAGAGGCAAGAACATCGGCGCCGGCGCCGCCGTCAAGAAAGGTGTCTCGCGCAGTAGCAAGGCTGGTCTTCAGTTTCCCGTCGGAAGAATCGCTCGTTTTCTTAAGGCTGGTAAGTACGCTGAGCGTGTTGGTGCTGGTGCTCCCGTCTACCTCGCCGCCGTCCTCGAATATCTCGCCGCCGAGGTATCTGCTCTCTTCTCTCTCCTTTCTTAATATTTTAATCATTTGTTTGAAATTTGTGTCAATTTGTTCGAGTATATCTTGTTTTGTTCTCATTCGTAAATCTTCTTTGATGATTTTTTTATTTTTCGAGATTTAATGTTGATTTTTTTTGGTTGAAATTATGTTAATCCGTTCGAATATATTTTGCTCTGATTTGTAAATTTTGTCATTAATTTTTCTAAGTTTAATCTGATATGTAATATTTTTTGTCGATTTTCTTTGATTAGTTTGACATTTCGCTCGAATTTTTGGATTTTCTATTATTAACCTAAAATTCGCCTTAGTTTTTCATTTCAATTGAGCTTTAAAATCCGTAACCAAATTTAATTAAACAATTAAACCCAAGATTCTCTTTCCAGATTTCTTGCAATATATGATAATCTAAGCGTATTTTCGCTAACTTATTCTACCTTCTGTTAATCAATGAAGGTGTTGGAGTTGGCTGGAAACGCAGCAAGAGACAACAAGAAGACCAGAATCGTGCCGCGTCACATTCAATTGGCCGTCAGGAATGACGAAGAGCTCAGCAGGCTGCTCGGCGATGTGACGATTGCTGCCGGTGGTGTTATGCCGAACATCCACAACCTTCTCCTCCCCAACAAGGGCCCCAAGAAGGCGGCTGCCGAGGAAGAGTAAATTCGACGTCGAAAGGAATCCTATATCAAAGTTTAATCGTAGAAATATGTAGAGATGGATGAACATACAAGCAAATAGTTTTATTTTCTACACTGGGTTCTTTAGGATTTTATTATAGTTTTATGAGTTTGTCTAGTTTCTATGAGAAAACTTTGGTTTCTAGATTAGGAGTAGCATTTTATGGTAACAAATATTTGGTATCGTGAAATGAGTAAAAGCTTGAATTTGAGCATTTCTGGTTGGAAATTTTGTGCCTATTTGTTGCAAATTGAGGTATGTTTGCTCGGATTATGCGATTTATAATGAAATTTACCAAATGTTTCGTGAGCGTTGTAAAAAAAAAAAAGAAATTGTCTATTCATATGAATTTTGTTTGGGGAAATTTACATGGCGAATTGTTGTACTCGGAAGTTTTGTATAATCGTCTAGCTATTCGAATATGGTACTAGTTGAATACTTGAATGTGAATAATTTTGGTGGGGCCAAGTAGTATTCGAAAATTGTGACACTGTATTCATATAATTTGGTTGTCTGAGTAATCGTCTATTCTTGTGGTCTATAAATAGAGGAAATGAGGAATGCATTTGATTTTCAAATGTGATTTCGGTATTATCGTAAAGTACGAAGGATTAGGTAGACAAATAGGCAAATTTGAATAATGAAACTTGTTAATTGTGAGGCTCAAATAAATTTTTGGTGTTTAGTGAGCCACTAAGGACGGGGGGTGAGAATCGTTCCCAGGATCTCCTGAAAGCAGGAGTAAAGTTCTAACCACTTGACTTATCTCTTACTCTTTGAGATTCAAATAAGTGATGGATCAAGTAGTATAATTTCCACAATAAAGAATACACAAATTGTCAATTACATTTACGTATACAAATAAGAAAGTCAAAAGAGGAAGAGAGTTAACAATCAATATTTAGCTCAACAAACAGGACAGAAAAACAACATTGGAAAAAGAGAGAAAGAATGTTTATTTAAGCAGGAAGAGGAAAGGGACCAGAAGCTCTGTGTTGTTGCCTGATCATGTGTTCTTCTGCTCTAGCAGCACTGGCGCCAACATAGTAAGCAACAAGGAACAATCCATGAATGAAACACAGAATTCCTCCTATCACGAATAAATGCTTGTGTGAGAATCCGCAACTCTGTCGTGATCTTGAGTTTGATACCGTCCCAAGAACCAGTAGGGGGAAGGCGATCAACAATACGACCCTGGTATGTTGCAATGGAAGATGTTAAGTTTTGCGTTTTCACGAGTTTTTTGTTTAAAAAAAGTGGCTAGTAATATAGGAGTATGAAGGTGTTTAGAGCACGTACCAAGAGACAACTAGGGAAACTACAGCTATTTGTTTATTTGAAGATGATCTGGTGTACTCTTCCCTAGATGATATGCAAACACACCCACCGAGTACGTTGGCAATAATATGAGCTATTGCTAGCAATACACAGGCTGCAAATCCAAGCTTGTATGCTTCATAGCTCGGTTCTCTGCACTCGAATATCCAAACTTTCATAAACCTCTCCTGCAATGTCCAATACAGAACAAATTGAATTAGTTATTCTCTTCTCTATTATAGAGATCATTTCTCATTTCATGAATCATGAATTTTGTTATCTTTCATATACTATACGAGCACGGATAAAATGAAAAGACGAAAAACATACCTTGTTTTGAGCAAATTGAGCTTCGATGCCTAATATCCCGGCCACAATATCCATGATCATGATAAAGAGACAGACCACAGGCCCCATTCTTTTAGACAAAAGCGGCATTTTATGATCTAGCGAAAAATCTCTGAAGGTTTATTTCTATCAAAAGCTTGATTGATCTTAATAATATTGGAAGGCTTTAAGTGTTCGTTGGTCCAACAAGGTACGAGCATTTATAAGATGGAGCTTACAAGGGGGGAGTCCTTAAGAAGTAGGGAATATAGAATAAAGTTTTTAAGGCATACTTGCTGATCATCCCAATTAAAATGTGAAGACATGAAGAAAAGATTAGCTGTTGGATCGAATTTACACAAAAGTAAAGGCTTGATAGTTAGCTATTGCAAGAGATTGCACTAAAAGGTTCTTTTCTCCTCACAAATAATTGTTCTTTATTCCAAGTTTGGTTTGTCTTTCAATCTGTTGGTTTTAGATTCTTGGCATGGGGAGCAAGGAAAGAAGGGTATCATCAACACACATTAGTACAAGATTATGGCATATATGGTAGTAGATTTGCTTGTCTTCTTTGTTTGCTCAAACTCGAAAATGAAGGTGGTTAACGTGTATATCACTCGGTTAGTCTCACAAAAAAACTTCTCATTTCTCTTGAGCATATAGTTTTTGTAATAATAAGTATTGATCCAACTACTTTTAATGTAAACGGCTGCTCTTACAGTAATGTTGGGCCTTTTGTGGCTGTTTCTTGCAAACTTAGTCCAAAGGATTGATGCCCTTCTCCATGATCATCTCCTACGCTACAGTCCGTGACTCAATGTTACTTTCTTTGGCCTAAGAGTTTACAAGAGGTTAATGCTAAATACTCCTTAGAAAACTAGTTCTAACGTAAATTTCTACTGTAATAGGGTTAGGGTCAAGTTAAGTGACTTTTACTCTATATATTATTAAACAAGTATCTTTGACGGATTAATATAAAATCAAAATAATAGCCTAATAATTTTGTAAAAGATATCACGATCTACTTTAACATGCTAAAATGCCTAAAAAGACGACCTACTTATGACTTGACCCGTCTGTAGGTCCGCATCTAACCTGCCTATTAACTAGTTCTAACTTCTAAATTTCTTATTGAGAAGTTAAAATTGGTTGATCCAACCTGCCTATTAACTAGTTCTAACTTCTAAACTTTAAACTCCGCCAATGGATTTTTCATTGCCAGTCCTAAACCTGGATAAAGGAGGAGGGTTACGGTAAGCCAGTGACAGTCAATGTAAAATTTTGTCACATTGCTTGACATAAGCTACAATGATTCGTGGGACGTTCTCATGTTGGTTCATGTAGCCGACTCCACTTATGGGATTAAAACGATCAAACTCAAGAAGAAGAAGATAAGAAAAACCTACTTAGCCTTGTTCTTTACAAATTAAAGCTTTGTGAAGTTTTATCTTTAATTGGGCCTTTGTTCATCCAAATTAGATCAAACAATGGGCCAAAAATCTAAAGTTATCAAAAGAATATAAAGTAGATGGGTAGATCAAGATAATCATAAAATGGATAATAGGATAGGAGTAATAAAATTGAAAACAAGGGTCAATGGACCCCACATCCAGAAAACAGATAAATTGCTGACAAAATAACATTTGTACAAGCTTTGAGCTCTCTCTAGAAACAACCGACTCACTCTTCTTGAACCAACTTTTAAAATCATACTAACTTTGATCATATAAAAGCCCTAATTTCTTCTTCTCTCAGAAATTCAATTGAACTGAAATCTCTGCATTTCTGGAATTTTTTTTTCTCTTCTAGGACGTTTTAATGGCGGCTTCGTTAAGGTGGAAGAGCTTCTTCGAGGAGGAAGATCGTCCAGAAAAGCCTAGAAGTTTTGGCGTCACTGAAATTCGCGGTCCTCAATACTCTCTCTTCTCTCAAAATGTTCTTGAGGTATTAATTTTGATTTTCCTTGAATTTCGGTCGTTCATTTTGATTTTTGTCAATTTTTGAAGCATTGAGTAGTTTTGTTGTGGAATTTTAGAATTTGATTTCTCAATTTTAGAATTGTTATGATGTGATGCAGATTGAAGTGTAAGATAGGTTGATTTGATTTGTTTCAGTTGCATGAAGAAATTGATTTGATTTGTTTTAGTTGCATGCAGAAATAAGAATTGGATTCATGTTTTAGGTGCTTGATTATCGTTACAGAAATGTTTGATGAATATATAGTACTCCGAGTTAGTAAAAATTTATCGTCAAATTGTTGCCTATATGATTTTGTCATGAATTCCAAAATAAGGATGCATTACTTAATTAGTAGAGTTCCTCATATGAAGATTAATTGTTACGGACCCATTGTTCATGGCTAAGCCATGTTGTCGGAAAGCATGATATTAGAGCATTTTTGGTAATTGGTAGTTGGAAACGGATTCAATTAAACCATTACTGTTACCAAGTGTTTGGTTGGAAGGTTTGTGTAACAATTACCATTACATTTACCTTTACATGGAGGTAATGGTTTCCACCTATTCGTTACTTTTCTAAAACCTAAGGTAATGATTACCCTTATCCTCCTCAAACAAAAAGAAAGGGAGTTAGTTTAAGTGGTTTCTTTTCACGATTATACCAAACATATGAAAAAGGTCAAGAGTCAAATGATTTATTCCCCCCCCCTCTCCTATTAGCTTCCTTTTCATTCCGTTTCCAATGTTCATACCAGCGCCTCCTTATTACATTCTTCAAAATAAAGTACTCTATCCGTCCCTTATCTACATGCCTACTTTTCTTTTTGGGGATTTCAGAAGTACGTGCCTATTTCTATTTAAAAAATGTACTTTTTGACAATATTCCCTCTCTTTGATGAGTTGTCATTTTTTTTTTATTTTTACTTTTGACATCATTTTCCAACACTTTCTCTCTCTATCTCTTCAATAATTACCAACTATCTTTCTTTCTCTCTATCTCTCTCTAACCCCACATGCATATTTGTACTTGCCAATCACAACTTTTAAGGAATCTTCAAGTTCCTTAATTCCCGTGTAAAATGGAAGTAGGCATGTAGATAAGGGACGGAGGGAGTAGTTCCTATTCCATACATAGTTTCTACTTACCGCATCCTTAGCTATCTTTTAGAGTCAAAATTTCCTTTTGATGTCCATTGTGATAGTGGCCTATCTTTGTTGTTTGAGCAAGGAATTGTAAGGGTTCTTTAGAGAAGTTCTTTATGGGTATGTGGGGTGCCTGGGGGCTTACATTCATGATCCATACGAGTTGTCTTTGGATGATGCATATCTTTCCTCATTTTTTGACACCAAGCAAGGCTTGTGTTAGTTCATGTAAGACACCTTGCTACATTGCCATTTTGCATTATATGTCTGAGTGTAGGGTGCACAGTTTTCTAATGTTTGAAGGTTAATTTAGATATTTTCTTTGACCTCAAGGATATGCAATATTGTGCCACATCCTTACGGGGACATAATCCGTATACGCTTTAGCACATTATTTTGTTTTGATTTATGAAATGGTCTTAAACTGCACAATATGGAGTATGAAATGACTTCTGTCCTAGATTGGCCAACTTCTTTTATGGATTGGGTAGTTGGAGCCCTGCAGAGCTGCAGTAACATAGTGCCTTATACTTTGAAGTTGGATGCTTTCTAGAATTTGAAGCTTATTTTACTTTATGTATAAGTAGGATATGTCCTGTGGCTCCTGCCTCCCTCTTTTGGAAGATCAATATCTAGTGCTAGCAGCAAATGTTATTTCAAAATTTGACTTTGATTTAAACATAAGATCACCATTCCTTGCTACAGTGTTTTGCTTCAACAAAAACTCTCCGAGATTGAGTCCAATAATTAGGCAAGAAGTGAATGATGTACTTGAGATTTACTGACTCGAAATCATTTTCATTTTTACTTAACGAAGTATGTGTGGAACATATGGGTTATTTTGTTATAATTTTGGGTTGGGAAGTTGGGTGAGATGTTATTTTGGTAATTTTTTTGGTGATTGGCCAATCAAATGTAGGTTTCAAGTTTCACATATCTGTTCCCTAATATTCCCTCCATGATATTTGATAGGCTTCATGCCTACTCCAAAGCCAGGTCTGTTACTGCTTTGATCAGCACAAAGTTTAGGGTTGCTTAAGCAGTTGAAGATGCAAAGGGTTTTTATATTTTGCTTCATATTCACTGCAAATGTAGTGAGTCATCTTTCTGTTTCTTTGACAATGTAAGCATTTAAAATTTGGAAGTACAATGCTTCCTGTACTCTATTTTACTGTTAGGAAAGGGTTTTCAATATCCTGAGGATGTATGCTGGATATGTGGAATTAAGAACCATGGAATCCTGGTCAACTATCTAGTATTTTTCACAACAAACCTCTGCAGAGAAAGCTGTCTTGTTATTCAAGAGACATCTAATTGCTACATGTCTGAAAGGAACCATTATGAGCGACCTTGCGGTGTTGGACTTTGAAGGTTTGGGGGGAAGGTCCTTTAGAAGCTTTACTTAGAACTTGTAGACAACTTCCTTTTTCCCTTGTTAGGCCGCCCAACTGGCATAAAGCAGCCTCTGATTGCTAGTTAGAACACCATCAAACTTGATTGCTGTTTTTACGAAATATTTCGTTAAAAGTAGATGTCTCAAAGTGATGTGATAATTACCCCCCTCCCCTGCAAAAAGGTGAAGTCTTTATTTATGTGGAAAGTGAATGCCTATTAAGGCTAAGTTGGTTTTGCACATTTTGTAGGATGTTTTCGAGTCAATGGGGCAGTTTGTTGATGGTCTGAAGTTTTCTGGAGGTTCTCATGGCCTAACACCAGAGAGCTATATTAAAAAGATGACTGATATGGCGCGCAGGCATGATGTTTATATCAGTACTGGTGATTGGGGTGAAAACTTGCTCCGTAAAGGCCCATCTGCTTTGAAACATTACATAGAGGTAATTAGTGATCAGGATATATCCTCTTTTGGCTTTGTTTACAGGCAACTGCTACTAGTCAAGATTGTTCTGAAATCTTATTATGGAATTTCAGGAATGCAAGCGCTTGGGTTTTGATACAATTGAGCTAGATGCGGGTTCACTTGAGCTTCCTGAAGAAACTCTTTTAAGATACGTGCACATGATTAAGGATGCAGGACTGAAGGTCAAGCCTCAGTTTGCAGTTAAATTTGACAAGTCTGATGTACCATTGTCCGGAAACAGAGCATATGGCGCCTATATAGCCCCAAGGCCCCGATCTTATGGTAAATAGACTTGCTTCTTGCTATTGTAGTTTACTTCGTTGTGCTTGATTTGGAAATTGTTTGAATATAAATTTCCTCTAGAATATGCTTCCTGAAGTTGGGAATTGGGATAACTTGATGTGTCTGAATTAATCATATGCTTTAACTGTAATAAAGAATCTCAAAGGTTTTTTTCTGGAGGTCCTTCCTTTAAAGGTGTTTGAGAAAATCATGTAGATCTAATTTTATCTAAAAGCAGGGGAAATGCTTGGAAGTAACTAGTAAGCTGTTACTATACGATTGTCAAAAGATTTTGTAAAACAATCTGGACCATAACCATCTTGCATGCTTGAGTTATATGTCCTAACAATGACGGGTGAGTAAATCCATGGAAGTTTCCAAAAGGTGCAACACAAAGTATGATAATCTTAATACGCTGACCTGCGATGGTTTCTTTAACTTCGTGTATGAATGTGCTGTTCCTGCATGTCTAGATTTTGTTGAAGATGTAGACCTCCTAATCCGAAAGGCAGAAAGGTGTCTGGAGGCTGGGGCGGACATGATAATGATTGACGCTGAGGATGTTAGCCGTCGAGCTGAATCACTAAGAGCAGATATCATCGCCAAGATTATTGGTCGACTAGGAGTTGAGAAGACGATGTTTGAAGCTGCAGATGCCAGAGCAGCTGATTGGTTTGTCAGCCAATATGGTCCTAAGGTGACTATCTTACAGTATCTGCCTCTCTTCGTTCCCAAATTATACTCTATTAATTTTAGTCTATTTAGTGAACTGGAAATCTTACGTAATCTGTACATTCTTGCTTATTATCACACTTTCAGGTGAACCTTTTTGTGGATCATTCCCAAGTGGTAGATCTAGAGTGCCTCCGCGGGCGCAAAGTGGGCAAAAATCACATGTCTGTTCTCGGTTCTGCATATCGTCTGTTATAAGGTGAACTTTGCAAATACGGTATAATTGTTGTGTCTATGTGCGTGCCCCCCTTATTTTATTTAACTGCAGTCGTGCTAGCTGTACTCTAAAGAGAACATGTGGAAGAGTCGTATGAATTTTGTAACTATCAGTACTCCAAATTATTATAATCGTGTTCTGATATGTGATGTCTTTATATGCGGTTGGTGATCACCAGATGCAGATCCTGGCTTGTACTTTGTGCTCTAAATTTTGTACTTTTGGAATTTTCTGCCCTTGGTGTTTTGGGAACTGATTTAAGCACTCCCCTACAATTAATTTCTATAGTTCTCCTTGAGAGGAGCATGAGATTCTGTGCTATCAGCATAGGGAACCTGGTAATCGACTTTGGGTATGCTAAAATAAATTCCCTTGGTTCTGTTAAGTTGGTTTTACGATAAAGTGTCAGGGTAAATTTTAGAGTTGTCAGCCATGATAGAGAAAGAAATGAAGAATGAATGCAATCTTTGAAACACGATACTCGTATATCATAAAACTATTGTAGGCTTGTAACATTCTTGGGTTAGACGGTTGTAGACATGAATGCCAGTTATTGAGAAGCTATGATTCTCGGACTAGAATACTCGTGTCTGATACAAGCACAAGTCCAAGTGTCCGGCTTGGCTACTTTATGAAAAGTTCCCATGATTTTGGCCCTAATGAAGGGTCAAATGCCAGATCGACACGAGGTAAAGGGAAGAGCTAGTCCGAGTAACATAGCTGACAAGTAGGGTGACATTTTTCGTCTCACGATAATAATCATATAAGATCTGTCAAAGAATTTGAAGCCTTTCACCAACAAATGCCAGCCTAAGAACAGTTATTGTTGCTTGTTAAATCCCAATAGTTGAAAAAAAATTAAAAAATAGATTCTGTAACAAGAATAATTTTGTGTGTGATATTGTCTATGCATAAGTCGCATAACAAACTTGAGGATCAATATTCATTATTCAATATAGTTACTCCGTATTTATTTTAATTCCAGTTTGTAACAAGACCTTGTTGTGCTGCAATTTATATATTCATGTAATTATGTAACAATAGCCTTAATTAAAACCAGTTATCCTGTCAGGCTGTCACATGGTACTAGAACAGTCAGTCAGTCATACATCTAACATCTAATACATGTTTCAATCTTTTTGATGGTGACTTTCTATCCTTTTCTTATTGGATTATTGATTACAAATTTACAAACACTAGTATTTTTAAACTGAAGTTACTACCATTTGAACAGTACACAAATGTCCAAGTATATAAGATAAAAGATATGCAGAAGCTGCATAAATCACTACTCACCCCGTCACCCTTATACTCACTATTCACGGTTTTCTATACGAATCGTGGACTATTAATATCTTGATCATGTATTATTTGGTTTTGAAAATACTCATTAAGACAAATTTAACAAGATTTAATATGATAGCACTTTTTTTCCTTGTATTAATAGATCATATAATATATACTTCGTATGTTCTTAAATTGAATGTGTAAAAAAAACGTAATGAAGGTAACATGTTAATTGCACACGAACCTAAATTTACCGGGGTTGTAATTGATTTGACCTAAATTTTTGAGTAAATGATTGATATATAATGCTCTTACTTTCGGAGTAATAATTTAAGCATCAAGAGTATGTGCACATATAAATGATACATGTTATATGAAGAGATTATTACACGATCTTATAAAGTCCGTAATATCATAGAATTCCGTCCAAGATGATTGGCTATTTATGAAGATTAAATAATCTAAATTCAACAAATGTAATACATTGATACCAACACTTCTAAATTGCGGTATTTATATGTGAGGTGTCCTACAATCGGAGAAGAGGAGAAAAGCAAGCAGTTTAATAGCCTTAATAATTCAAAATTTCAAATGAATATTATAGCCTTAATACTTCCAAGGGATGTCCTAAAGTATAATTCCAAGGGATGTTCTAAAGTATAATTTTAAGGAGGATCCCTTGAATGCAGTAGAAAGTGAATTTTGACCGTAGATGTAAAAGTCAAATGAGGTAATATGAGTATGATTTCTTAATTATTGATGAACATTAATACAGAATAATTGTTCCTATATAATGAGTGTGACAAAATAGGAAGATTAAATAATTATTACAAAACTATTAATTTTACTTCCTTGCTCTGAGAATTATTGTCACATTCTCCCACGCCATTAATACGTGCTGAATCAACAAATATAGGAATAAAACCAAGTTGCCAGAATTCCATGCACAATAATAAAATTCATAATGGCTTATAAGGTGACTTTATTTATTTTTTGGTCAAAGAAAAATTTCAATCCCTCTATAAAAATGCTTTCTAGTTCTTCCCCCTTTTCTCTTTAATTGCTAATTTATACATTCTAAATTGTTCTTAGAAACTCAAAAATGAGAGAAACAGAGTAAAAAAACTAAAAACAGAGTAAAAGAAACAGAGAAAAACAGAGAAATTAAAATGTCAGCAGTTTGGACAGCAGTTAAGAAATCATTGGATTGCAAGTCAACCCCATCTGCTGAAGTTCATGAACCAAACCCCAAAACAAAGACCACAAACAGCTGCTGTAAGCCCAGGTCACGAGCAACCGTACCGCCTTCGTTGTCGTCGTCGTCGTTGTTGTCATGTAAATCAACCATCTGGGATGTGATTCATGGCAGCAAGAGATTCAAACAAAGCTCATCAAGTCGTAGCCCGATGTCGATACGTAGCAGTGATTTGATCAACCCTGTTACACATCATGTCAGATTCACCAATTCTGATCTTAAGAGCACAAAGGATCATGGTCGTAATGCTAGTAGTTCACCCTCAAAATTTTACCTTGGTTCCCCTGCACCTAGACCAAGATTGAGGAATGTTAATAAGGGGCTTGATTCTCCCTCAAATATTAGTAATGAGCCTGGGAGTAGCGCTGTTTCGGGGTCTTCGTTTCGTAGTCGAAGGTTATCGATGGCCGAGGGTGAACTTGGTGGGGAGTTTAGACACAATTGTCATAAATGTGGCGAGCCATTAGCTAGGCAGGATGCTGAAGAACATCATCTTTCTAGGCATGGAGGTATAAAATTTATTTATTTATTTATCATTATCTTATTTTTGTTTTGCAAATTTAAGTTTGATTCTTTTGTTTGTTGGGTACTTGGCATAAAAATAGCTCCAATGTGATTTCAATTTTCTTTTTGATTGTGGTGTTATATTGCAAACTGTAAAAAAGAAATCAAAGAGTTTTGAATTGCGTCATCTTGACGATGTGGTCTTAAAATTCTATGATCACACACGCCACCACACTCCAATTGTTTTTAATACTCTTTCCGTTTTATTCTACTTGCCCCGTTTTCTCCTAAAAGCTCTCAAAAACATGGACGATGGAGCAAGTAGATTTACCATTTCAGATTAGGTAAGATATCAAGAATACAAGGAAATGTATCTTCATTTTTAGTAAACTAGTGTAACATTAGTACAACAATTTTCAAAGTCAAACTATGTTAGTTTAATTGGTACTATTACTTTCAAAATCAATATGCAATTTGAATATTTGTCAACCACAAAAATAATTTTTTGAATGTGAGAAGCAATGCATGATCTTTTCATTTTTACTTGTACATTTTTGGTACAGTGACTGAAGTACTTGAAGGGGACTCATCTAGGAAAGTCATAGAGATGATTTTCAAGGCAGGATGGATTGATGTCGAGAATCGAGGATGCATCGACAAGATCCTGAAAGTCCACAACCCACAAACAAAGGTAGCACAATTTGAGGAGTACCGAGAAATGGTTAAAATCCGAGCAAACAAGCTACAACATTCCAAGAAACATCCCCGTCTCCTAGCCGATGGCAACGAGCTCCTTAGGTTCTATGGCACAACAATTGCTTGCTCTTTAGGCAAAAAAGGGTTCTCAAGTCTTTGCACTTTGCAAAGATGCAACGTCTGTTGCATTCTAAGACATGGATTCTTGCATAACGAGGGTACAAGCAATAGTATTATGGGTATATTTACTACCTCGACGAGTGAAAGAGCATATAGAAGCATAGATATCGATGTCGAGGAGAAAGAAAACCATAGCAATTCCTTGAGGAAGGCTTTGATTTTATGTCGGGTGATCGCGGGGAGAGTGCATAGGCCAATGTTAGAGAATATCCAAGAGTTTGTTGGTGGTAGAAGATCAGGGTTTGATTCCTTGGCTGGAAAACTAGGATCAAATAATTCTCATGTCGGGGAGCTGTTTTTGTTAAAATCAACAGCTTTGCTCCCTTGTTTTGTCATTATTTGTAAGCTCTAAGAAAAGAGCGAGCTCTTGTACAGTCAATACAGTTTAAACAATTAAGAAGAAAATAGCTAAAGAATTGAACACTAGTTTGAATTTTCCAAAATTTCTAATGTAAGTAGCATATAATTTTACCTTAGTAAAAGTAGGAATTCGATTTCTTCTGAAATCATGAAGTAATTTTGTAACCAAAGTTGTAGCTCAATGATATATCCTGGTACGTAGTAAGGAAGTATAAGTGCGTAACAATTATTTCATATTGGATACTCCGTATCTCAATCTACATCCCTGATATACTCAAAATTTCCCTTATTTTTGGGCGCCGTTCTTAGGATATCCCCTGTATAATGATCAAGTGCATCTGATATTGAACTAGAAGTCTAATACTGAGTTATTGTTATGCATCATATCTATCGTTCCTCATCTCATACTAGTTGCGACTCTCTTTGATCAAGAGTTCCGTATGAATGCTTCTATAAGGATCTTTTCACATAGAAATACACGGTTTATGTTTTGAACTTCTATGTATAATCTTGATTCTTAAACACTTGGACCAACTAAGTTTTATCATAAGGTTGAATGTGGAACAGTCTCAAGAAAATATAAAAAGCATATTATAATAGAGTCCCACACTGACCATGATGCTAAATAAAATACAATATTTTAATAACCCTATACAATTTGATGGGTACGACCTTACTTGTAGGATCTGTTCTATAGGTCGTACCTCTGTATCCTTCTCCACTAAGGAGACAAAAACTAAGTCTGGTTGATGAGTTATACCCGTTATGATCTGAGTGTGACTATAAGCAATTGAAGATCACTACTTCTGCCTCCTTTGGGGGTTAAGATTATAATTTGCGCTTTTGTGACACCTCGTGATTCAATTTCTTCAAAGTGATTTTTATATAAATGCTAATGCTTATGGAACATATGCTTGTACTTTCCTTTTTTTTTTTTTTCCACAATAATTTACTCGTGATCAATTTCCGTCTACATCATATGCATATGCTCCAGGGTTATACTGTAATTTGCAGAACTGCAACACCTCGTGATTCCTTCAAAGTGCTTTTCATATCATTGCTAATGCTCTTGGAACATAGGCTTGTTTTAGAGTTTTTGGGTCTTTTTACTCTTTTACAAATTCCTCTTCCCCTTTTAGTTCTATAAAAGAAGAAATTGCATGCTCTTGTAACTTCGCTGTGTTCTTTGTTCTTTCATAAAGTAACTTTAATCATCCTCACTATAAATCTTTTGCAATTCAGGTAAATGTTTGGCTACATTGCATTATCTGAAAGAACCTAGCTAAGATGCTGATTCCTTTGTTTTTTCTGTTTGGTAAAAAAGCACTTTAAACTAAAACATATTCATTGCTTAGTTTATCAACTTTAAGTCTATATAATTCATTTCTACAACTTATGTTCTAAAATCTTCATCAATAGAAAATGGCTAATTGCTTGCTGAAAATTTCACTGATACATTTGTTCATTACTTACACTTTCTGCTATGGCTACGCAGAACTTGAACTACTGCTGAAACTGAAGGAGTCTTTGGTTGGACCTCGAAGCTCAGCCCTTGAAGACTGGAAACAATCTTCATCTCCAACATCACATTGCTTGTTTTCAGGGGTCTCATGTGACATGAGCTCTCGAGTAATCGGTCTAAATATCTCATGTGTTCCTTTATATGGCTCAATCCCACCTGAAATCGGACAGTTTAGCCAGCTGAATACTCTGGTTTTAACAGCTACTAATCTGTCAGGCAGTCTTCCACCCCAAGTAGCAAACTTATCGACGTTGCAGCACCTGAACATCTCAAGCAACTGCATAAGCGGGCAATTACATTCAATTTTGTTCAGCAAAATGACTCAGCTAGAAGTCTTAAATTTCTATGACAACAACTTCTCCGGGCCACTGCCTACAGAGCTCACGAGCCTTAAGAAACTGAAGTATCTGGCTCTTGGAGGAAATTACTTCTCAGGTGAGATTCCATCTCAATACTCACAGATCCAAGACTTGGAGTACTTAGGCTTGAATGGTAATTCACTTACTGGTAAGCTTCCTTCGAGCTTATCACATTTGTCGAATCTCCAGTTCTTGTCTGTAGGATATTTCAACACTTTCAATGGAGGTATACCTAATGAGTGGGGTTTCATCAAATCACTTCGAGTTCTTGATGCAGCTAAATGCAACCTTTCTGGCAGTATTCCTGTAACTTTAAGTCACCTGAGTGAATTAGACACTCTTTACCTGCAGAAAAACAACATTACAGGTCATATCCCAGCTGAATTTGGTGATTTAGCCAATTTGAGAGAACTTGACCTTTCTTCTAATTCACTCACAGGTATAATGCCTGAAAGTTTTTCGCAGTTAAAGAAGCTTGAATATCTCAGCCTATTTTCGAACAATATGGATGGTTCGATCCCTGATTCTGTCTCTGAGCTTCCTAGGCTTAGGAGATTTCTTGTATGGAGCAACAACTTCAACAGTCAACTACCTGAAAATCTAGGCCAGAATGGAAAACTCGAAAGGGTTGATGTAGCAGGCAATCAAATTACAGGTCAAATTCCAAAACAGCTATGCAAAGGAAGAAGACTAAAGGAACTTATATTGTTTGGGAATTCTTTTACTGGTCCTATCCCTGAAGATCTTGGAAACTGCAAGACCTTGGTTCGAGTAAGATTAGCAACAAACTCGTTAAGTGGTTCGATTCCCTCTGGAGTATTGAACTTGTCAAGGGCTAATATAATTGAGCTTAGTCAGAACAACTTGGTTGGTGAACTTCCCCTGTATATTTCAGGAGATTCTCTCCAGACTCTAGACCTATCGAACAACACCATCACCGGAAGTATTCCTCCATCTATTCAGAAGTTGGTTAGATTGCAGAAACTCTTTCTTGGAAGTAATAACTTATCAGGAAACATTCCTGATGAATTATTCAGTCTGAAAAACATTTCAATCATCGATGTAAAAGACAACTACATAACTGGGGAGATACCGAAAACAATAGGAAATTGCTCCTCTCTTATGTCCTTAGATATCAGCAACAACCACCTTAGTGGAAGAATCCCACATGAAATTTCAAACTTGAAGATTTTGAGCAGTCTGAATCTGTCAGAAAACCATTTGGTTGGTGAAATTCCTGCTGACATGCAGAATATGACTAGTTTAGTGACACTTGATCTTTCATATAACAACTTGTCAGGTAGAATTCCATCTGAGAGACAGTTTGCTCTCTTCAAGGCGGATTCATTTATCGGTAACCCAAATCTCTGCTTTCCATCTCAGTCAACTTGTGCTTCATCAGCTGAATCGAGCTCGGTTCATGCTTCTCAACTAGGATCATTCAAAACATTGCTCTTACTTGTTAGTGGTATTTTTTTCCAAAATGTATTCTAGCTAGTGTTGACTTTTCACTTCTGTAATTTCTTATAAATGCTTCTATGAGTTTCAGTTAGCAGTTTAGTTTGTCACTGAAATAATTTATGGACCGTATTTTCCTTCTGGTAGTAATGTACGGAGTACTCCCTTAGTTTTTTAATTGATGCAGTTTGACTTTTACACTTCTCAACTTTCCATGTCTCTTAGTAATTACAAAAGCTATGTTACATGAACGATGCGGTAGCATTTCCCTTCTAATTAATAAATCAAGTTTAATGGATCAGTTTGAAAAAAAAATATGAAGCAAATTGTCAAAGTCTTCTAATTTAATCTACTTAATCAGACTGACAGTAATAACATAATTCTTATTGATCAAAGTAGTAAATAACCAAATATCAGGAATAGTCCCACATTGACACAACTACTAAAAAAAATTATTTTAAGTAATTTATGTTTAATGATAAATAAACTTTAATTTTTTCTCTGCAACCTTAGACACCAAGTTTGATAACCTAGTCCAAAAAATGGATTGTGACCGTGTGATCAGATAATTTAATATTTAATACGGTGTATATCTATACTGATATATTAAAAGACGTTTATATGTGTCACGTAGATCCTTTTAAATTATGTCACGTCACTTTATGACGCCAAATCACCTACCCAATATCTTTTACTTCATATAGAGATATAATAAGGTTAAGAGGATTCGATCACCCAACCACTTATAACAAAGTTGGCTATTTAACCTTCTTAGCCCATTATCAAGCATGTTATAAATATGAAAAAGAAATGTACATAAGTGTAAACCACATGATTTAATTATTAAAAGAAATACTTAAAATACTATTTTTATAATCAAGATTATGCTATCACAGTTATACATACATTTAGTTATATATGATAGCATATACATTATTCATAATAAACTTATACTAAGTATTTTTAATAGATCATAACTTGTCTATTACTTGTGTGACTACGCATATAGTCATATAGATACATTAAACAATCTTAGCCGCATATTGCATATCAAAATAAACTTCATATAAAAAAGATACATTAAAAAAATACTACTAAACATACAAAAAAATACTACTAAACATACGACAATCAACTTGGCGAGAGTAGGAGCTAGCCCTCAGAGCTGAGGAGTGCCAAGAGATTGTTATATAAATTAAACGCGAGTGTACGATACACTCACCCATGAGCATTTTTTTCCCATTTTGATGATTGTTTTTCATTTAATCATTAAGTGAAGAAAAAAAACTAACTTTGGGTTAGTTGGGTGCACGATACACTAGGGTGTGTATAAAATATTTCAAGGAGTGTCGGCTATAGTTTGGAGTTAGGTTCTTTAGGTTTTCCTTTCATCTGATTCAATTCCTTAAATTAGATAACTCGTGACTTATGTGAGTTTTTTATAAAATAAATATCTACAGATCGAATCTGGATCGGGTCTATGATTGAACTTTTCAGACCGGACCCATTGCATTGAGACCCAGATCCATTTAGGACCCAGACCCTAAAATATGGGTTAGGTTTAGGTCGACTTCTAAACCCGGCCATTGCCAACTCTAAATAATATATGAGATATATGAATCGACATGACTCGTATCTGTCATTCCAATCTCAAAGGTAAAATAGGTAAAGAACATAAAACCCTTTCATATCTCTAATTTTTTTTTCTTAATTTTTTTTATTCAACATTGAATAAAAATAATGATACACGATATCATGATGCACATTATTGTGAATTCATAATCATAATGTAAAAAATATCACTATTAATTATGCATTAGGCTAATTTTGATTTTGATTTTGTGAAACATAATATTTGAACTATCAAAGCCATGCAATTGCACAGGTACTATACGAGTAGGGGAGTTTTGGAAGGAAAAAACAGCACCAGGATGTGACACGTGTCACTCCCGGTATCTGTTTTAGTATTAAGTTATTGATTAGACAAAAAAAATAATTTAAAGTCTTGTAGAAAATTACTACTTTAATACCCAATAAAAATGGTAAGAAAGATATGAAAATATATATTGGTTGAACATATATGGAAGAAATTTGATATAAAATATATATAGAAGTTAATATTTGGCAAAAAAAAAAAAAAAAAAAAACGCACACATTTAGGCGGGAAAATTTTTAATTAGAAGATGACACGTGTCATCCAAAAGTTCATGAACATTTAGGCAGGAAAAACACACGCGAACTTTTGGATGATACGTGTCATCTTCTAATTAAAAAATTTCCCACCTAAATATATGTTTTTTTTGGCCAAATATTAACTTCTATATATATTTTATATCAAATTTCTTCCATATATGTTCTACCTGTTGAAGAAAATAACAAAATGAAGTTCACATGTATAATATCTTAGTACATCAATTATATGCACAAGTACAATAAAGGACAATCATTTGTGTATTTTATTATAAATGTTTGGATATATAATGAGAATTTACGTAGTAGCATATTACTACAATTTTCACCCATCTTCTTTCACTTCTTCTTTACTCCTCCTTTCATTGATCAAAACCTTTTATTGGTAAAAATCTTTAACACGTTATCAGCACGAATTCCTAATCAGGTATATTTATACCTACTTCTCAAAATTATAACTAATAAATACTATCTACTTCTAAATTTTTTGAGGAGTATGCTCTATAGTTGCCCATATTTTGGGATCCTCTATACCAGAAACTCAAACATTTAATGTATCATGTATCACAAAAAAAAAAAAAAAAAACATCGGTGAAAAATATTCTCTTACTTGTGAATTCATTACTATCCTCCCTTGTTTTATTCATGCTGGTATCTTGGTTTTTGTTTGATGCAGCCTTTTTATACTTATTATTTTTCTTTCTTTTACGTACTTTTTGTGTTTCTTTCAGTTTTCGAACCCATGATCTTTTATAGATATTAGGGCTCTCGGACCACTATGGCTTGCATTCCCAGTGTGATAATCTTTTACAATTATTAATATTTATATTTGGATCATAATTTTGCCAGTACATTAGACTATTATATGACATTTTTTACAGTTGTACAGAATAGTAACTGATAGACCTACCTCTATAAAAGGCAGATTTCCCCCGATTTTCACCACAAATCCCTTATCCTTTCCTTTTTTTTTTCTTTATCCAAAAATCACCCAAAATTTTTCACCCCTTCTTTTCTGATATGTTCCCCGACGACGGCAACCAAAACACCCACACCTTCACCTTTGAGGAAGATTTAAGGAAGATAAAACAATATTTTCTTCTAATTATGGCGCTTGTAGTTCTGTTAGTAGCAATATTAATTTTTGTCATGATGTACAAGTGAAGTTTGTTTATTTTGTCGTATCAGTAGATTAAAAGCATGTTTTTGTTTTGTTATGTTGTTTTGTTGTTATTAATCATCATTGTATAATAGTACCATTATTATTATAATTATTGTTACTACTGTTGTTGTTGTCGTTTTGCTGTTTATGCGATTAATATGATTTATCTTTGCCTAATTATATAATTACTCACAATAATAAACCAAACTCACTTTATCTGGAAAGAAATTTTTGGAATGAAAAGTGGTTGCCATGATGAATTTAAAAGCTCAAGGGTTGGAGCACACTGTTAAAGATAATAAAAGTCCCTCTGGTCAAGCAACTAATGCTACCACTTATGCAATGACGGATGTAAAACCTGTAACTGAACAAGAAGAGTCAAAAGCCTTAGTGTTACTAAGGCATTATTTGCATGAAGGCCTCTTAAAACTGAGTACATGATGGTTGAAGATCCCAAAGAATTATGATATTGCCTTAATGAAAGATTTGGACACCACAAAAGGGTGCTCCTTCCTAAGGCATAATTTGACTGGACAAATTTACGGTTCCAGGATTTCAAATCTGTAATTGATTACAATTCAACCACACATGAGATGGTATCTATATTGAGATACTGTGATCATCCAGTCACTGATGAACAAATGATTGAAAAAACACTCACTACCTTTCATGCAAGCAACATACTGTTGCAAGAACAATATCGTGAAAGAGGTTTCAAAAAGTTTAATGAATTAATGAGTGTATTGCTTGTTGCGGAACAAAATAGTGATCTTTTGTTGAAAATTCATAATCTCAGACCAACTGGGTCTTTGGCCACTCATCATGAGGCAAATGCAACAAGTTCTTATCCACCCGAGGCAAATGCTACACGAAGAGGTGGACATGGAAATTACAATGGTCGTGGAAGAGGCCGTGGAAATTATCGCGGACGAGGTCGAGGACGTGGTAGAAATAATTTTCAAAGAAACAATAATTTCAAAAATTCTGAAAAACAGAAGGGACAATCATCTGGAAGCCACAAACAAATTCCTTCAAGAGGAAAAAAACACATGTTACAGATGTGGCATGACAGAACATTGAGGACGTACTTGTCATACGACCAAACATTTGGTAGACCTTTACCAGGCTTCTGTAAAAGGCAAAGAGAAAAATGCAGAAGCAAATTATGTTAATGAAGAAAATGCTCCTTGTCCTACCCTTGATGTGTCCGATTTCTTCATGGACAATGCTCAAATTGGAAATAATTTCATCTTTGGAGAAAATAACAATGCTTAGATAACCCATCTACTAATGTAATATATACTATGTTTTAATGTATTTTCTGTCATGTACTGTATTTTAAATTTCTAGTCGTGTTTTTATAATTTCTATCATCAATAAAAGGTTTGTATGATATTATTCTGAACTAATCTCACATTTATGAAGATATGGATATGCCTGAAGTTGGTTCCGAATATCAGTGCCTTTTGGACAGTGGAACAACACACACTATCTTGAAGGATAGGAAATATTTTTCACAACTAAAGTTGTTTCAGGAAAATGTAAATTTCTGGGTCAGCAAAATGAATTGAAAGATCTGAAAAGGCTTGTATAATGCTTCCAAATGGAACAAAATTGATGATCAATAATGCTTTATACTCGAGTAAATCTTGAAGAAATCTCATAAGTTTTAAAGATGTACGCCAAAATGGCTATCATTTAGAAACAATGACAACGGGTCAAAAGGAGTATTTATGCCTCACGGCAGGAAAATATGGCAAGAAACACATTTATGAGAAATTGCCAGCATATTCTTCGGGGTTATATCGTATATACATACGACCCGTGGAAATCAATATGATATCTAACCAGAAGTTAGATGACAAACATTTGATTATTTTATGGCATGATCGTTTGGGACATCCAGCAACTAGGATGATGCAAAGAATAATAACGAATCAATTGGACATTCAATAAGAAATGTCAAAATTCCTCGATCAGATGAATTAACATGCTCTGCATGTTCACTCGGCAAATTAATAATAAGACCATCTATGAACAAAATTGCTACCAAATTCCCAAAATTCTTGGAAAGAATTCAGGGAGATATTTGTGGGCCAATTAATGCAACATGTGGACCATTTCGATATTTCATGGTTTTAATTAATGCTTCTACACGATGGTCACATGTCAGTCTGCTTCCAAGTAGAAATGTTGCCTTTAAAAAATTACTTGCCCAAATTATCAAATTAAGAGCACAATCCCCAAATCATACAATAGAGAAAATAAGACTCGACAATGCTGGGGAATTTACATCCCAAACATTTAATGATTATTGTATGTCAATCGGAATTGATGTTGAGCACCCGGTAGCTCATGTTCTTACACAAAATGGTCTAGCTGAATCACTAATTAAGAGATTACAATTGATTGCGAGACCATTATTAATGAGATCAAAATTGCCATCATCTGCTTGGGGACATGCTATAATACATACAGCAACACTAATTAGATTGAGACCTACAGCTTATCATAAATTACCACTACAACTTGTTTGTGGTAGAGAACCAAGTATCTCACATCTAAAAATCTTTGGTTGTGCTGTATATGTTCCCATTGCTCCACCCCAATGAACAAAAATGGGGTCCACAAAGAAGGCTTGGAATTTATGTCGGGTTTGAATCCCCCTCAATAATTAAATATCTTGAACCATTGAGTGGTGACTTATTTACGGCTAGATTTCCTGACTATCACTTTAATGAAGCATAACTTATTTGGAATGCAACACAACTGTTGATGTTAGACCCATGAACAAATATGTGTGAACAAGAAGTCAAGAAAATTGTTCATTTACAAAGTGTTGCAAATCAATTGCCTGATGCATTTGTAGGCACAAAGAAGGTGACAAAATCACATATACCAGCAGAAAATGCCCCTGCATGTATTGAAATCCCAACTGATAATAAGGCCATTGAAAATGAATCTCAAGCACGCAGAAAGCGTGGGAGACCACTTGATTCAAAAGTAACTAAACCAAGGAAATTGAAAAGATTGGATGGAATAGAAAATGAGACTAATGATGTTCCCCCGTCAGAAGGTCAAGAAAGACCAAATGTGGATGAAAATAAACAAAATGATGATAATCCAAAAGGGGACGAACAAGAAAACAACCCTATGGGGAATGAACAAGATGTTCAAAACATCAATAACAATGAAATTTCAATAAATTACATCTCTACCAAGACTCGGTGGAATAGGAAAGATGTTATCGTGGATGAAATATTTGCAAATTCCATCGCAATCGATATTGTGTCTGATGAAAATGATTTTGAACCAAGAACAGTGGAAGAATGTCGACACAGGACTGATTGGCCAAAGTGGAAGGAGGTAATGCTTGCTGAGTTGAAGTCACTTGAAAAATGAGAAGCTTTCGGACAAATAACTCTTACACCAGCAGGTGTATAACCCGTTGGATATAAATGGGTATTTGTGAGAAAACGTAATGAGAAAAATGAGATAGTTAGATACAAATCAAGGCTTGTAGCCCAAGGATTTTCTCAAATCCCAGGGATTGATTATGAAGAAACATATTCTCCATTAGTTGATGCAACTACATTAAGATTTCTGGTAAGTTTGACAGTCACAAAAGGACTGCAAATGCGATTAATGGATGTAGTGACTGCGTATTTGTATGGGTCACTCGATACAGACATTTACATGAAATTCCCCAAAGGACTAAAACTACCAGAAAATCACAAGCCTAGACAATTACTTTCCATAAAACTAAAAAGGTCACTTTATGGATTGAAACAATCTAGAAGGATGTTGTATAATCGTCTTAGTGAATACCTTGTGAGAGAAGGGTTCAAGAACAACCAAATTAGTCCCTCTGTTTTTGTAAAACGATCACAATCAGGATTCGCTATTATTGCAGTTTATGTCGATGATTTGAATATCATCGGAACCCCAAATGAATTGAGAAAACTTTAAAATACTTGATGAAAGAATTTGAAATGAAAGACCTTGGAAAAACTAAATTTTACTTGGATTGCAAATCGAGCACTTGAGTCATGGTATTTTTGTCCATCAATCAAACTATACAGAAAGAGTTTTGAAAAGATTCTTCATGGACAAAGCATCTCCAATCAACTTCTCAATGGTTGTTTGTTCTTTGAGTATGAAAAACGATCCATTCAGACAACGAGAAGAAAATGAAAAAATTCTTAGTCTAGAAGTACCATACTTAAGTACAATTGGAGCCTTAATGTACTTAGCTAACAACACTAGACCCGACATAGCTTTCTCTGTGAACTTGTTAGCCAGGCACATCAATGCACCAACATATAGGCATTGGAAGGGAGTCTCCGACACCTACTCTGGTACCTACGAGGGACACAAGAACTTGGTCTTATTATCAACTGAAACAAGATGTTGCCCTCATTGGGTATGTCGACGCTGGATATTTATCGGATCCTCAAAATGCCAAGTCACAAAATGGATATCTGTTCACTTATGGCGGCACTGCAATTTCATGGAAATCAACAAAGCAGACATTGACTGCGACATCCTCAAATCATGCAGAGTTGATAGCCCTTTAATAAGCAGGACGAGAATGTGTATGGCTAAGGTCGATGATTAGTAATATCCAAGAAGAGTGTGGAATGAAAGCAATAACAGAAAATCCAACCGCCATCTTTGAAGACAATACATCATGCATCTCTCAAGTAACTGAAGGATATATTAAGGGAGATAGGACAAAACATATATCCCCAAAACTATTCTTCACACATGATTTGCAAAAGGATGAGGAAATAGATATCCAGCAAATTCAGTCTTGTGACAACCTTACCGACCCGTTCACCAAATCACTTCCTTCCAAGAAATTTGAGCTATTAGTTCACAAAATTGGAATGCGACATCTTCGTGAACTATGTTGAAATTAGGGGGAGAATTATATGCACTGCACTCTTTTTTCCTTCGATCAGGTTTTTATCCCACTGGGTTTTTCCTGAAAAGGTTTTTAATGAGGCAGTATACCAAAGCATATAATACAATAATATCGTTGTACTCCTTTTCCCTAGCTATGGTTTTTATCTAGCAAGGGTTTTGATAAGGCAACTCACAACCCTATTTCATGTGAACGTTCAAGGGGGAGTGTTGAAAAATATAACAAAATGAAGTTCACATGTATAATATCTTAGTACATCAATTATATGCACAAGTACAAAAAAGGACAATCATTTATGTATTTTATTATAAATGTTTGGATATATAATGAGAATTTACGTAGTAGCATACTCCTACAATTTTCACCCATCTTCTTTCACTTCATCTTTACTCCTCATTTCACTGATCAAAACCTTTCTATTGGTAAAAATCTTTAACATTACCAATATATATTTTCATATTTTTCTTACCATTTTTATTGGGTATTAAAGTAGTAATTTTCTATAAGACTTTAAATTATTCTTTTTTGTCTAATCAATAACTTAATACTAAAACAGATACCGGGAGTGACACGTGTCACATCCTGGTGCTGTTTTTTCCCTCCAAAACTCCCCTTCCCTTTTTGACCCTTTTTTTGTTTGTTAATATTTGATTCTATAATAATATCATTATAAATCTTTTATATTATATATTAATGACAAATATATTAATTTTTACTTGGTACTCATAATTATTCAATACACATATACCTAAATAATTATTCCAACTCCTTTTTAATTATCTTTTAAATGGAGTATTATTAGATTTTGCCAAAAAAAAGTAATAATAAATTGATTCATATAATAGATGTCAAAGAAATTACTTTAAAACATCACTTAAATTTTTTATTTTCAAACACCTCTAACTAATATTATATTTCAATTTCAATATAACTATATGTTCAAATTAATTACAATTTTGTTTCTAAAATTTTACAACTCCGTACTACATATACATTATCACAAATTAAGGATTTATAGAGTATAGTATAACAATAAAATAAATGTTGTGTTTGACAATTATATCATATGTCTAATTCTAGGAAAAGGTAAAATAGCAATTAATTTTTTTTTGTAAATTACGTAACTAAAAATATCAATATCTTAGTAAAAGCAAAAAAAATTATTATCTTTTGCCGAGACACTTGATTGAGACGATAAATTTATTACATCCGACATTCATAAATAATCAGCATACTGAAAGACAC